AACGGCACAATAGAAAAAGAGATAAAGAATTAATCAAGGGTGGTTAAAGTGGAGATCTTTATCTGGAGTGCTATTTGACAAAAGAATCCCACACAAATTAAAGGGAAAAATCTACAGTTCCATAGTACAACCAACTATTCTATATAGTTCGGAAACATGGCCAACCAAAGAATCAGACGAGAGAAGTCTACAAACTATGGAGATGAGAATGCTGAGGATGATTGCTGGGGTAATAAGAAAGGATAAGGTGCGCAGTACAAGAATACTAAATAGTTTAAAGTTAGTGCCCATTAAGACTAAGTTAATGGTAAACAGACTTAGGTGGTATGGGCACACAATGAGAAGGCCTATGAACTACATAGGAAATAAAGTTGAAAGTTTGGAAGTGATGGGCAAACGTAAAAGAGGAAGGCCAAAACTTCAATGGGGCCATAAAGTTAGAGCCAATATAAAGAAGTATAAAATAGATAAAAGAGATTGTATGAATAACATAAAGTGGAGAGAGATGTTGAAGGAGCTTACCACCAGAAAAGGTGAAAGCTAAAGACAAAAAAAAAATATATTAAAGATTGATGCAATAAAAATTATTTTTGAAATTTATGGGTGTCATAAAATAATTATCATTTTTTCGAGGGGGGGGGAAGGTTACTTTTCAGGGAAGTATTCTGCTTCCATCGCTCAGAAAGTGTAAGGGTCACTGCAATCATCATTGTAGACGCTGTGTTTAGATTGAGTTTACAGCACATTTTAAAATCACGTTTGCCTCATTTTTTTGAAAATAATAATTCAATTTGAAGTTAACAAAAAAAATCTTTTACATATTTAATCCTATATTTTTTAAGAATAAATAATTATTATCATAAGATAAAGGTAAGTAATATTTTATATTTTTTTTAAAAAAATTATTATTCATTGCGTAAAAAATTTAAAAAAAAATGAGTAAATTTTTTTTTAAAAATAAGTATAACGAGTAGGAAAATATATTTTGGTCAATTTAATGCATTGCGAGAGATTAAGCTGTAAGGTTAATGAAGCTAATCGAGATTTCCAGAAAAGAGAATTAAGAATCAAGGAGTTGATATGTCCAGGAAGAAACTCGTGGAAGTGATCTTTGTTGAAGGCAAATGTAAGGGGAGCATAGGGTATAACTGTATAATAAGGTGACATATAAGGTTATTCTCCTTAGATCTTTAAAAAGGTAAGGTGTAGATGGTTGGTTTTCAGTAATGTAGATATATAGGAAGCATAAAAGACAGTCAAAACAGCCGAAAATAGTCAAATTTGTGAGATGAAAGATAGGTGGCACCTATAAATCGGTGACAGATTATATTTATGAAGGTGGTGGTAAGGTGGTGATCAAAGTATTGAATAAATTTTGATGACTAAAATAGTAACAAATCAAAAATGATGCATAACAAATTAAGATGAATAAACGAAAAGGCGCAAGAAATATACAGGTAACAGGGTGTATCTCTTGCACATAACAGCTTTTAATGTGATGTTCATAAAATGTGCCAAGGTGAGAGGGAAAGTTTATATTTACGTTGAACGCAGATGGAGATAGCTGATACAGAAGTGGTGGTAAAGGTGGGATTACTTGGGTTATATGAGACGACATCTCATTTAGCTTTTTTTACAGAGACAGAGAATCACCCTAAATTTAAATTGTTATTACTGGTCGATATTATGCTTGTTTTCGCAAGTTTCATGGATTTTTATTGAATATTTTTTAATTTAGGTGACACTTAGTCAATACTTTATCTGTCATTTGATAAATTGTTACTTTGTAATGCAAATTTTTTTTAGAAAATAATTAATTTTTAATATATATAAACTTTTTTTAAAACAATTAAATCATTTTATCAGATAATTAATTATAAATAAGACACGATAAAAATAAATAACTATATATAGAGGTAAAATCCATAAAAATCTTATTTAAAAAAACATAAAAAAGAGATATAAAAACCTCATAACTAGAAAATAATAATAATAAAATGTTCTTGTGGATCTTCATCATCGTCCAGTGAAGAGATAAAGCTTAAATAATTTGATTGAATAATGTTTATGGTAAGCCTTTGTTGAAGGGTATAACCTTCGCGGGATTCATATAAATTTTTATCACAAAATATTTTTGACATTTAAGTATAAAAAAAAAATTGGAATAAAAAGTTAAAGAGAAAAGAAAATTATATAAATGACTAAAAAATATATGCTGGAGTAAATATGACTTTATTTCCTGTAAATGGTACATTGACCTAGTTATAAATTGCATATTATATTATTATTACGTAATTTTAATTTTAAAAAATAAATAAAAATGTTGTTTATTTCAAAGATAAAATTTTATTAGTGGTATTTTTTTTAATCATTTGTATGTATCCTTTTCTTTATAGTCTTTTCTTTGAATTTTTTTCTACAAAAATATTTTGTAGCATTGCTTTTACAAAGCGACGAATTATCAAGAGTGATATAAGGTGTCGGAGGAAATTTCAGTAATAAAATGTAACGTTACCAATGTCATGGTATGAAGTAAGGCCAGGTGTGATTTGATAGCAATATATTTTGGAAAAAAAACACGTCTAAATCTTAAGTGAAAAATTGCATAAGTATTTAATAAAACAAATTACTAATGTTTAAATATTAATTAAATGCAAATTTGTTTATTGCGTATTTGTATAGTAAAAAAACGTATATTAAATGAGATAGAAGTTAAATGGAGAGTGAATTATCACCTAGCCAGCTTACAAGGCTAAAGCTCTTATATTGTTAATGATCTTTCTCTCCCAAAATCCTACCTTCAGCCTCATCGTGACGGGATAGTGGCAACGTCTTTTGGCGGCTAATGGAGGTCTAAAAGGTTCCCTGTGATCTAGGTCTAGAATAAAATCACCGTCTCCTCGACGGGGTGTAAAAACCAGTTAAAGGGGTTGATGTCAGGAAGGGCATCTGATTGTAAAAACCTTGCCACAAAATTTCCCTATGGTTACAACAAAGCATAGGCGTGGTACAGCCCAAAGTACCCCGTGGGCCTCCTCATCCGCCTGTGATAAAAAGAAGGATGGGAAATCTGATGGAACCACGATTTATGAAAATGAAACTTATGACGACCATGAACAACCTGATAATAATAATAAGTGGAGAAACCAGTTTACGGAGGATCGAGTAAGGGCTTCGACATGGTATGTTGGGAATATAAGGGGAAGAGCGGGAGAAGTGGTCTATGTATAGCATAGAAGGCATATAAATGTGTGCTGCATACAGGAGACCATATGGTAAGGAAATAGCGTAAGAATGATTGGCAAAGACTAGTGAAAAGTATTATTCTTTTGTCAAGGAAGTAATGATGGTAATGCTGGAGTTGGGGTATTGGTTACGGAGAAATTGGTAGACAAAGTGAGGAGGCTAGATAACCAGGTAATGGTTATCAAGATAATTTTTGGTAGAAAGCTATATAATATTATCTCGGCGTATGTTCCTCAGGTTGAAAGAAGTGAGAAGAGAAAGATATATTTTGGACAGTCTATTGGGGGTGACATCGAGACTGGCAAATGAAGAGGGGATTATCCTGGCTGGTAATAGTGAGGGCTATGAAGGAGTACATGGAGTGTACCGTTATGGCATGAGGAATCTGGAAGGGGAGAGGATTTTAGATTTTAGTGATGCTTTGGATTTGATTGACTTTAATACAATGTTTAAGAAAGAATCAGAGAAGCTTTTGTGACATATAAGTCAAATAGTACCAAATGTGCGGAGGATTATAAGTTATTAGGGGGATGTGATATATGTATAGTAAAAAACGTGAAAGTGATACCGGGAGAGGAATGTATTAATCAGCATCAACTATTTATAGGAGATCTCACTTTTAAAGGCGCCAGGATCACTAAAAGAAAGTTTGTGCCAAGGCTGAAGGTTTGAAAATTGAAGAAGAAGAGTGCTAGACGTTAATTCAATATGACATTGGCGATAAGGGAGGCGGAGGTGGCACAAGCATCTGGGGTAAATGACAATTGGGAAGCCATGAAGAAAGCCTGGGTGATAACAACTTAGTAAGTGGATGGACAAAAAGGGCACATAGACATAAGGAGACTTGGTGCTGAAACCAGGAGGTAGCGAAAGATGTGGATGAGAAACGGAGATGCTTCAAAGAATGATATAATAGTAAAGAAAATAGTGGTAACGATATATAAAAGATGGCGAAAAGAAATGCTAAGAAATTAATAACGAAGACGCAAGAATAAAAAAGGCAGGAGTTCGCTAAAGAAATGGAATGCGCTGAAGGAATAGGAAATGTGGTTCGAAAGGGAAAGCAGATGGCGAAAAAGAGGCAGGATGTGGTAGATCTTAAATGTTTGAAAAATATGGAAGGAAAAATGGTGATTGATAGTAGTGGTATTAAAAACACCTGGAAGATCTATATGGAAGGACTTTTGAACTAAGAAAATGAATGGGATATTAATGTTAGTTGTGCAAAGGTAGAAGGTCAAGGGTGTAAATTTGGCAAGGAGAAAATAAAGAGAGCAGTGAAAAAGATGAAAAAATGGAAGGCATCGGGTTTAACGATGGTGGTATCAGAGATGTTTAAAGGTTATGATGATTTAGGAATTAAATGGTTAATGAATTTACCAATCAAATTGTCACAGAAGGAACTATTCCTGAGGACTGGTGAAGAATTATAATTATCCCAGTATACAAGGGGAAAGGTGATCCTTTAGATTGCGAGTCTTACAGAGCTCTTAAACTCTTGGAACATGCAATGAAAGTATTTGAGAAGGTGTTAGAGAAGAGGATAAGGAAGCTAACTTGATGAAATGCAACTTAGTTTTACATAGGGGAAAGGCATGACATATTCAATTTTTGTCGTGAGAAGAAGTATCTTGTGAAGAGAAACTGTATTATGCGTTTGTTAATTTGGAGAAAGCATTTGACAGGGTGCCACAAGGGTTATTAGATGGACCTTGAAAAAGTGATGTGTGGAGGAATGGTTAGTTATTGCAGTGATGGCAATGTATGTAGGAGCAGAAACAGCAGTACGGATGGATTATGGTGATAGTGAAAGCTTTGAGGTAAAGGTAGGACTTCATCAAGGATCCGTGCTGAGTCTATTATTTATCTTAGTAATAGATGTGGTGGCTAGAGAAATGCGTGAAGGACTTCCCTGGGAGCTATTATATGCAGATGACCTTGTATTAATGGCACACAATGAGGAAGAATTGAGGGATAAAATTAGTAAATGGAAGATGACTATGGAAGCAAAGGGGAAAATGAATGCATCAAAGACAAAGGTGATGATTGGTGGGGAAAATCTAAAGATGGAGGAAGGTAAGTGGCCTTGTGGTGCATGTGGGAAAGGAGTTGCTAGAAATTCAATCCAATGCACAAGATGCCAGAAATGGGTACATAATAGATGTAGCGGGAAAAAAGTAAGTTTGATGTTAGCAAGAATGACTTTTATTTGTAGAACATGCATGAAAGTGATACATAATAGTGATAACATAGAAAATGGTGGTCTGGATATTGGCAATGGGTTAACCAGTAAAAGTGGATAAGCTTTGCTATTTGGGTGATACGCTAAACGCAAATGGTGGTGTAGATTCTGCTGTTGTTGCAAGGGTCAGACAAGCTTGGAAGAAATTCAGAGATGTCATCAATTTTAGAAATAAAAAAGTCTCACTGAAGTTAAAGGGGAAAGTTTACGTAAGCTGTGTGAGGAGTTTAGTTTATGGCGGCGAAAAATGGGCAATGAAATCTACTCACGAAGAATTAGAAAGAACAGAGATGAGGATGATTAGATGGATGTGTGGGGTATCTCTGAGAGAGAGAAAAACTAGCAAGGAATTGAGAGCAAGATTGGGTATAGATATGATTGGAGTGGTAATGCGACGAAACAGACTAAGATGGTTTGGGCATGTGGAACGTATGACAAAAGATGACTGGGTAAAGAGATGCACCTTGATGGAAGTAGGAGGATCCTAGAGGAAAGCCCAAGATGACGTGGACAAATGTGATAGTGGCGGATATGAAAAGCATGAATCTTACAAATATTGATGCTCAGGATCGTCAAAAATGGAAAAGAAAAATCAGTGGGAAAACTGACTTACCCGGGTAAACCTAGAAACCGCCATAACGGAGAAGATTGTTAATGATCTTTAAGAGTATTTGAACTGTGTTTAATTAGTAGGGTTGGCAAAAATCTTTTTGATTAAAGAATAATTTTCTTGATTTAAATCTAATTTTATAATATAAGAAATAATTTTTTTTAAAAAAAAACTCCCTAAAGGAAAATAAATCACGAGAAGTTATTAATGTAAGCATGCATTCATTTAACCTTTAAAATTAATGGCTATATTGCTAAATTAACATTATTGAATTAAATAAAATATTTTATCTATATTTACTCTTCATGATATTAATACATTCTGAATATCTAATTTAATTTCAATGATATTAAAATAATTTTAAAGTTTTACCAAAAAAAATAATTTCAAGATTAATGTAAACGTAACATATAAAATCTTTTATAATAACAAAATTTAGTTATTAATTATAACTTATATACAAAATATAAATAAATGATGCATAATAAAAAATTTCATTTGAAAACAAAAATAATATTTAATATATAAATAAACAAAAAAAATGATTTAAATTATAATTTTTATTCATTAAAAAAATCATTTAATTTAATCATGTCAACTCAATATCTAATTATACAAAAATTGTCAAAAATGGAATCTTCTAGATGTTATAATATCATAAAAAACCTATAAATTCCTTTGATTGTAATCATCCTATTTCCTATGTTTTTTTCGAAAAAAAACAAGAAAAAATATTAATTTAAATAAAATAGTATAATAAATCATGAGAAGTCATTATTTCTAATCATTTAAGGAGCATGGAATATTTTAAGCGTTCCAATCACCCTTGCCCACCTACCTAGCGAGCTATGCCATTGCAGTAATATCGAATGTGCATAAATTATATAGTTAACTAATTAAAAGGCTAAAAAAATATATTATTATTTCTATTAATGAAATTTTATGGCAAAGTAATCTCTCGTTTTCCGTTTTAACTATTTCATTCAAAACAGTTATATAACTATTATTATTTTTAAATCGTTGTACAAAGCCAAAAATTATGAATAGTGAAGAAAAATGGTATTTATTTGAATAATTATTATATTGTGTAAAAATAAATTATATTTTACTTGTTTATAAATACAAATTGATAATAAAATTATTATAAAATAATTAATAATATGGATGAGATATAGACCAGTAGTAAGTTAATGACATATAATATTTTATAGACTGATGATTAATTCATTAAAGTACATTTTAAAGGGTCGTTGAATACAAATTAACTGGTGATATCTCTATATCAATTTTTTAAAATACATTTGTGAAACTCTGATTTTTTTTTTCTTTAAAATTTTTATATTATAATGTAAGTTATTAATACGGGATACCAAAAAATGGTGTGGTACCAGCTAATTTATATTCATACATGTCTAAATAAATGAATTACCAATCTAAGTATTGACCGGTATAAAATTCTCTTTATAAAATATATACAGCTTGATTCATATTTATTGAAATTAAAAAAAAACAATATAATTTACATTCTTATCTATTGTTATTCTCAAAAGTCATGAAATTAAAAAAAAAAGAAGAAATTTACTTGATATATCATTTTTAAACTTTTAGGTTCCAATTTTAATATTTAGCCAACCTATAGCAAAAAAAAACTAGAAAATTAAACATTTTGTTATAAATATATAAACGGGGTAAGTCCTCTAATAAAATCAGGTATTAAAAAAATTAGATATAACTTTGCCTCAGTTACACAAGCGATATAAAAAATATAATAGAGATATCATCAAATAAATACTATATAACGATTTTTTTGTAAATTTGTCTTTAGCAATTATTCCGTGAGTGCTTGATTAACCATTGCAATGTTATGTCTTGTATAATAAACGTTATAAAATATATAAAATAATTTGTTAAGATTAGAGATTTTGACACATCATATAGTGAATGAAACTATTCCAATTTGTAATAAACGAGTGACCAGATTTGGCAGTAAGTAATAATTTAAAATGTCATTTAAAAAAATATATATATGACAAAAACAAAAGCCAAATATATTATAACTAAGGGTGTACCAATAACACTTTTTGGAGGTGGATCCAATATCAAATTGATATTGGCCACTGATCCAATATCATATCTGATTGTGTATTCTATAAACATACTAATCGTTTTAGTTTTTAATGTATATATCTATTCATCAGTATAACATCCAAAATTTAACTATACAATAGCCTAAGTGTTTAATTATATTATAGTGATTAATTATATTCATGAATCGAAAAGTATATAAAATATTTAATGATAAATCACTTATTTATATAATAATATTAACCTATTTACATAAAACAAATATATTATGAGTTTGAAATAAATTTATTAAATATTAAGATGCCATTTTATTGGATCAGATCAGAAAATTTTATAATATCGATCAATAACCTATATTTTAGAATAGATTAAATATTGGCCCGATATGATAAAAAATATTGGTACATCCATAATTATGACCCAACTGGGATATTAATTCCAAATTGAGACAATTTTTAAAAACTAATATGAATCAAAAGAGTAAATAAATTTTCATGTTAATTTTATATTTATAACAAAATTGTAATTATGGACCCCATAAAAATATTTTGCTCAAATTACCCATCCCAGCCCAATAAATCTGTAGCTAAGTTCATAAATATTTTTGTCACAAATAATATATAAGAACAATATACCTATATTTTCTTTTTCTTTGCAAGATATTGAATAACAACATATTTCGCGATCTTGAATAGCTGATAAATTTCTAGTTTCATTTATAAATGATTAATTTTGTTATATTGTCTGCTACATTTAAAACCCTGATATTTAAAAATTTTTTTACATATAAATAGCTCATATATTAAAAGCTCACAAATTATCTTATTGAAAAACATTTTCTTAAATGTCAGACATGGGGGTTATTACTTTTAAAACTATATTTCTCTAGATATATTATATTAAAATTTAATTAATGATAAATATATTGAGTGCCATTTATGTACATATATATAATCATTATGATAAAGATGGTCTATTCATTTTTATGTCATAACTTATTGCAAATTAAAAGTTTTTGATTAAATAACACACATTAAGAGCATACAATTTTTCAATTAAGGTCTTTTCATCATAAGAATTAGGCAAATCCTTTTTGTTTCCTAAAACCAATACTGGAATATTTTGTAATTGTGGTTTATTTAGAAGATTATGCAACTCATTTGCAGATGCTTGGATTTTTTCATGATCAGCTGCATCCACCATATAGCTATAAAAATAAATATTTTTTTATTATTATATTAATAAATTTACACTATAGCATTAACTCCTCTACAATATCTCTCCCACATACTCCTAAATCTTGGTTGACCACCAATGTCCCAAATCTAAAATTATATTAGTTTGCCAAAAAAAAATTTATAATTACTTTTATAGTCACATTTCCTTTAGTAATTTTCCTCATATTAAATCCAACAGTTGGAATCATATCTTCAGTAAATTGTCCAGACTTAATAAAGGATAAAATAAATATTAAAAAATAAATTATACAGCAATAACGTTGACAAATGTGGTTTTCCCTGAATATTGAAGGCCAACTAAGGTTAGTTCCATTTCTTCCTTCCAAAATAAACTCCTAAACCAATCTAATAGCTTGTTGATCATTGAAAGCATTTTAGCTTTCTTGATTAATCAGATTTTTAAATTTTTATGTGCACCAGGAAAATGTGTATACATGTTTTTACTATCTAAATTTTATAATAATCGCGCTGTCACAAATCAACCACACCGGTCAACATCTTTATAAGATAAATTTAAACAAATTTTGGATATATTATGCTTATAAAATAAGTCCCACATAAATATGGGGCATCTCTACGCCAATTTGTGGTTTCGATGCTCATACTATAGCGTTATAGTTAGTCATATGTATGTACACTTTTTAATGAATCAACAACCTGACAGTGTATATTGACAAGTGTATTGCCATACTTTTATTTTAAAAACTGTCAGTATGATCATATTTTAACAATATTAATACAGGGGCGTCGCTAGCCTGGGCTCAACTAAATAGAAATTAATGGGAGGCTTCGCCCCCAATACCTTCCAATATACGGGAATTCGGCCCGCTTTTGCCCAGCTTTCGGCCGGTTTCTATATTAATATATTATACTTTTTTAAAATTTGCTAACTCTGAACAATTATTCTGAATTTCATATTTTGTCATTTTTTATATTATGCTTACAAAATAAACTAGCACATAAATTATTAAAACAATACAAGACATTTTTAAAAATAATATCTTTTAATACAAAATCTATTTATTATAGTAAAAAATATTTTCAATTGCTGATATAAAAAAATTTTGCGTCTAAAGAATTGCAAGTGATAAAAAAGGTTAATTAATTCATACATATGCCTCAATGGATAATGGTTTTTAAAAATCACATAAGGTTATATAATTCTTGCAACTTACATTGACAAAAGGTCATGATACTAATATAACTCTCTGTTGACGATGTTTTATAGAATGGACTAATAAGGAAAAATTTATATGCCTTACCCAATGATGTTATATATATCATTGGCCTTACCAAAGCAACAATTCTTGAAGACTATATGGTGGTTAAAGCTTCCTCTTAAATGACATGATGCTAGATAATTAATCAAAAAAATTATTGCGAGATATTAAATTTTTAAAAGATTATCTTACAATTTGAATAATATATAAACCACTACACCATTAAACATTATTGCTTATCTAAAATATGCAATCACATGCTCTCAGCAGCTGTAGTAATAATCTTAAATTACATAGCCACACAAATAATAGATGCTGGTTAATTTGCAGTCATAGAGACATGATAATTTATTATGTTAGATAAATTGATAAAAAAAACACTAAAAATCTTAAGAAGAAATTATGCAAATATATTGAAGCCTTGAGTTATTTACACGGCAAGGATGCCATATTAGAAATGAAAAATTTTGTAATTATAAAATAAGAACCAGAGTGATATCATGAAAGCAATTAAGATTTTATATATTATTGTCGCACCACCTCTAGTTGGTATATTATGTCTTAAAATAATATCAAAAATATATTCGTTAAAAATTTAACCAAAACTGTTTTTTAAAGAAGAAAAAAATAGCTTTCCAAAAAACACGTAAAAAATGAGAAGAAAATATATCTAATTTATTACATCCATTGTGGGATGAATAGTAAGACGTTTAATTTTAATAATATTTTAAATAAATAGATGACGTTAAATCATTGTGTGCAAATTATTATTTATATTTATTATCAAAAGCCTTTATTAGTAAAATTTTAGAAATATTAACTGTAATATATTATATAACTGTCAAATACGTCTGTAAGTGGCATTTTACCTAATATTTTATAAATAATTATATATAATAGAGGATTATAAACTATATGTCTACTTACTTTATATATAAATCTCTTATACTTATTTGGATTTAGACCTTAAAAATAATTTTAGGAAGAGGCATGATAATTAAATTTAAAGATCAATAGTTGTTTAGTGATTTTGAACTCGGGTAATTACAATATTATATTTGTTAATTTTCTTAATAAATGATTATATTTATTTAATTAAGATTATATAATAATTTAAATAATAAAAGTCAATTAAGCTTCAACTGTTAATGCTAAATTAATATTTAGTGAGTGATATTGATATTATATTTTAACACAGAATTTGATTGCAAGCTGACATAGTGAAAATATAATTATATGTATTAATCTAATCTAATAATTAAAATAGTATTCATTTAATAAAGATTAAGATAGTCTTTTAATTTCTAAATAATAAAATTAAATCTATATATTACTTAATAGAATTATAAAAGAAATCATTCAGGGGGCTATCAAAAATTTATTTTTAGTTCAAGGGGATATTAAGGAGGATTAAAAAATTTTTTTTGCTTCAGGGGGCTATTCATATTTTTTAGGGGGCTCGAGCCCCTGCGCACCCCCTCCTAGCGACGCCACTGATGCAAATTATTTGAAAGGTTTTTTATCGATCACGGTATTTAACCTACACTAACGTCTGCATATCACCAGCAGTCTAATAGTCAGGCTGAACGTATAGTAAAGATGTTGAAATTGCACATGAAAAGAAATATAGAAAATAACAACACGGACTTTTAGATATCGTTTAGAAAAGTTTCTATTCACCGAAACACACCATATGCTGATGGGGATTCTACCCAGCGGAATGTTTTTCCCATACACGACAAAAACCATATATGATTTACTAAACCTAAACGGAGAAGACCACAACACCTACAAGAACAATACAAGTTGGTAATTAAGTTTAGTTCAACAAATATGACGAAGGCATAATAACAAAAAGAGAAGGTAGCTTGATTTACAAAGTAGACACAAGCAATTGTACAATAAGAAGATATCTGGGTCAGATTAAGAAAAAAAGTGCCCAATGAAGTCCCGACTGCAGAGATCAATAATATAAAAAAATGGGCAGAAAGACGAATGTCCCACCGTGATTTTACAGAAGGGAGAGAGTCAATAAAGTGGAACAAACAACGATAGATATGAAAACCCATTAGAGTAAAAGAAATACCTAAACGCTTGAAAGACCATATCATGAATTTCAAAGGCCAACAATATTGGCAGCATCTAGAAAAATAAACTATAAACAACACACTGAAATCCTAATGACAGGCTTAGAACTTATTTTAAAACGTGATAAAATTTTTGAAGAATATAATATATAGTGAAGGTCAACGGTTCAGTCCTAACTGTATTAGACTGGGACCGGACTGGACCGGAGGACAATCGATCTTTTTTTGGTGACAACAGTCCGGATCAGTCTTTTATTTATTTTTTTACCTATTTTTTTGTATATTTTATTTTATGTTATTTTTCTAGAGAAGTTAGTTTTTGTGAATTTTTAGTTCATTTTTATTTTGCAATATGAAAAATATAATTTTTTCAAAGAAGCATTTTAAATAAAGTCCCAATAAATAAGAGGTAAAAACAAAAATATAAAATACCAAAAAAATAAAATGAGTCTTTTATTTAAGACCACGATCTGGATCGATCTTTTTTAAAATACCATGGTCCGGTCAGATGCATCAATCTGGTCTGGACCAAAGACTGAATCGTGACCTTCACTAATAACATATGATTTCAATATAAAAAATTTTATATCCAACGCGCGCACATATATTTTATATAAATTACTATTATTTCAAACACTGTAAACTATCGTAACTATCATGATCAGGGTTGCCATGTCTCCCCCCATCAGCGGGAGACTCCCGCAATTTTTTTAGTTTACACGCAGACATCTCTTTCCCGCAAAACTACCGCAATTATAGATCTCCCGCAAAAATCTACCGCAATTTTTTTAAAAGGTTTTTAACGTTTTTAATATATAAATAATAATTTTGAGAGACAGTAATTGATTATTTTTATATTTTTAAAATAAATTTTAAATATTTATTCGAAAAACATGTCTAGTTTGTAAATTTCTTTCTATCCTGTTTTATTTTTATCCAATAATAAATCAACATCATTTCATTCATCAGTACAAAGGAGTGTATCAACATCGATTGCAATACAAAAATATTCTCCTAAAATAATAAATAATACAGATGCAATTACAGTTGCGGAAATCGTATACACCTATCATGTAGTTCAACATTCACAGAGCTATATCATCACAATGTTGGTCGAATCTTTTTCCCATTATATTTAACGACTCTAATATAAATGCAAACCTAACAAAAATGAGCAAGGCTATCACAAGTGTTTTAGTACCTGAATTCTAGAGGTCAATTCTAGACGATTTGAAAGAGACAGATGCATCTAATAAGGGAAATATTAAAACATTTCCCTTGATCTTTCGCTATTTCAACAAGAATAAGAACATTTCAATAAAACTGTTAAATTTTTTACCTTGGATAGTGAAAAATCCAGCGATGTAGCTAACCACATAATGTAAATATAGCTGATTATTCAGGGTTATCAATGAATTGCATGTCAGCTTTCTGCGCTGATAATGCCTCTGTAAATTTTGGCAAAAACCAAAGTGTATTTACCGAATTGAGGCCGCACAATAATGAATTAATACCAATTGACTGTATATGCCATATACTACATGATTCTTGCAAGAAGGCAATGAATGCACTATCTGTGGATGTCGAAATAATTATGATGAGATGTTTTAACGATTTAATTCATCAACTATAAGAGTTAATGAATTAAAAGAGTTGGTGGAGTGGTCTGACTTAAAATGGTGTGAGTTGTTGCAATATGTACCTATCAGGTGCTTATCGTTAATACCTGCCATCGATAGAATTTTAAAATTTTACAAACCTTTAAAAAAATACCTTTTAAATAAAGATTTTAAAAGCTGTCCTAAAATTTTGAAAAATTTTTTCAAGTATGAAATAGCAGAAGCATATTTGGGATTAGTTTCACATGTAGGAAATCTACTTCATGAAGTTAATATTCAGTTGCAATCAGAATATTCTTTATTAATAAAGATTCACAAAATCATGCTACAGCTCTGTTCATCTCTACAGTTAAAAATTGATAATAAATTTTATGACGCTATTGCTAAAAATATTAAATGTTCAAATAATACTCTAATTATTACACATTTAAATGAAGCAGATATTTTTATTAAGACAATTTTAGAATATTTACGATCAAAATTTGATTTTAATAACTCTATTTACAAATGTATAAATATTAACAGAAACCGTCAATTGATGGTTTTTGTAATTTTATAAATATATTAAAAAT